AGACTCAACTTGAGCCTATCGGATCTGCTGTAAAAGTAGAGTAACTATTTTCATCCTCAAACACATATCCTTGATCGGAATCGTGACCGGTTTGTGGCTGAGAGCATCGGCCACCACGTTGGCCTTCCCCAGATGATAAAGGATCTCACAATCATAATCCTTCACCACATCCAACCATCTATGCTGCCTCATGTTCATATTCAGCTGATCCATCAAATACCTCAAGCTCTTGTGATCCGTGTAGATAGTACAATGGACCCCATTGAGGTAACGTCGCTAAATATTGAGGACAAACACTACAACCCCGAACTCCAAATCATGCATAGGATAATTCGCGTCATGAGGCTTCAGCTGCCTTGAAGCGTAAGCAATAATACAACCCTTCTGTATTAGCACTGCTCCCAAAATTGTGATTGGCACATCATAATATACCACAAAATCCCCAATACCCTCCAACAGGGTCATAATCGGAGCCTTGCATAATCGCTGCCTCAAAGTCTCAAATGTTTCGTGTTTCTCAGACCCCAACGAAATGTGATGCTCTTCTTCATCAAACGAGTCAGAGGAACCACTATCTTGGAGAAATCCTGATTGAATCTCCGATAGTAACCTACCAATCTAAGGAAACTATGAATCTCAAATGGAGACCTCAAAACCTCCCACCTCATCACCGCCTCGAACTTGGGTGAATCGACCAAAATACCATTCTGGTTGGCACGATGCCCCAGAAACTGTACCTCGCACAACCAGAACTCACACTTGGAGAACTTCGTATACAGCCTCTCCCTCCTCAGAGACTCCAATACCTCCCTCAGATGCTCCTCATGTAGCTCTTGCGTCTTGGAATAGACAAGGATGTCATCAGTAAACACAATCACAGATCGGTCCAATATAGGTCTGCATACGCAATTCATGAGATCCAAGAATGCGGTTGGAACAATGGTGAGCCTGAAGGGCATTACCACGAACTCATAATGACTATAACGAGTCTGGAAGACCGTTGTTTGTGTATCTTCCTCTCTGACCCTCATCTGATGATAACCCGAATGCATTTCATTCTTGGAAACCCAAGATGCACCCTGAAGCTGGTCAAATATATCGTCAATCCTCGGGAGCAGATAATGGTTCTTCACGGTTAGCTTATTCACCTCCTGATAGTCAATACACATCTGATGCGACCCATCCTTCTAATTGGTTTTGGACATCAGAACTTTCCCTGTGTGCACATACAACCCTATAGCTTGGATCTAGGGTTCACTAATTGAACATGCAACATATCTAAGACTTTCATGGCTAGATCTAATGTAAACAAACAATTAAAACATATGAAAACAGATCTAGAATGATACCTTGAGTTACTTGCTTGAAAACCTTCTTCTTCTTGGACCTTAGAGTCACAAATGTCACTCCTCTAATGGCTTACAAACACCAACTATCAAGAAGATGATTTGAGAGAGATGAGGAAGAGGGAAATCAGCTCTAGGGTTACTCCAATCACAAGGGTGCCGATTTCCTCAACCCTATGGGTCTATTTATACTGTGATCTCCTAGGGTTTCACCCTAAAACCCTAATTGGATAACTTAGTGTCAAAGCAATCCAAATCCCTTCCTAGATAAGGTCTTGGACGATTTCTAGGTTATCCACATCCCTAAAATTGTCTAACCCTAAATCCATAAGGATTATCAGCTCAAAATACAACTTTCACATATTTGATAGTTTATACCCCTTTATTCAGTTAATCTCTTTAAGTCACCAAATTAATTCCTAATTAATTTATGAATTATATTAACCAAATAATATAATTATTCTTTTTAACATATTATTCTTATAAAACATTAATAATAATATCTCTTCTCTGTAAATCATCCTATCAAGTTGCTATGGTGAAGGCAACCCAAAAGGACCATGCACAACCAAGTCATGTACTTACCAAATATAGTTATAGCCTTAGACACTAATCCAACAGTCTCCCACTTGGATAAGTCTAGTAACTATAAACGCAAACACAATCCGATTAGCAATCGTAGCTCTCAAAGACGCTGTCAACTCTGATCGTATCAGTAACCAGTCCTTTAGATAAGGGATCGTACAACCCTCTGTTTTGATATCGTGCAGATGATTTCATAAGACATTGTCATACTCATTATCCAGCAACTATTTTCTCAATCTCAGATTTATTTGACATAGAACTTAATTGAACACATCAATTTAGTCCTGACCGGGCCTACACATAAGTCAAATCAAATCATCGAGCGGCCGTGATATCGCTCTTACCCTCTCAGAATAAAAGTAACAGATAAACTTCGACTTATATGAATTTATTTATCGACTAACCAACTATACACAACAATGTGTTTTATGACATCAATTTACTGATGCGGTTTCGCATTATCAATGTACAACCAATTAGTAAATAATAAACCATATATCTAGGTTTTAAGACCATATGATATTATCGTCTTGCGATTACTCCAAAGTGATTCCAGCAAGCGTGGGTTTATTCCAATTCTCAAAACTTGTTCATAAGCACTCATAAATGTTGCAGCAAACCTTTGCTATGTCTAATGCCATTTAGACAATCTACACACCAATTCATGACAATCTTCATTCATACCTACTTCCAGCATATGAACGATTGTGGACAGTTTGAATAACTCGATTATTCTTAATAAACTCAATTATTCTGGAAGTCAAAACATGCAAAGTGAAACAATAGCTAAATAATTAACATAAGATATTAACAATAATTATAAATAATACTCCTTTATTTATTCATCATATGTCAATTACATTTATCTATTACACGTTTCTAATACTATCTAATCCAAACTAATATCATCCTTCAGCCCAATACTCCTAGCATGCTGCAAGTGCTTAACCCTGGTCAGTCCCTTCGTAAGCGGATCTGCTGGGTTATCTTTTGATGATATCCTCTTAACCATGAGGTGTCCTTCTTCTACTCGATGCCTAATAAAATGATATTTTCTGTCGATATGCCGAGATCTACCATGATCCCTCGGTTCCTTGGTTAAGGCAACCACTCCTTCATTATCACAGAAAATTTCCATGGGCTTCTTTATGGCAGGCACAACTCCAAGATCGCCAATGAAGTTCTTCAACCATATTGCTTCCTTTGACGCTTCGCTCGCTGCAATGTACGCTGATTCTCACGTTGAATCAGCTACAGTTTCTTGTTTGGAACTTTTCCACGTTACTGCTCCTCCATTAAGGGTAAAGACCCATCCCGACTGCGAACGGTAGTTGTCCCTGTCGGTCTGGAAACTGTCGTCACTATACCCTCGCACCTTCAATTCATCACTCCCTCCGAGGACTAGAAACCATTCCTTGGTCCTCCTAAGGTACTTAAGGATGTTCTTGACCGCAATCCAATGCGCTCTACCGGGATTCCCTTGATATCTACTGACCATGCTCAAAGTGAAGGCCACATCAGGTCAAGTACAGGTCATAACATACATGATCGAGCCAACTGTGGAAGCGTAAGGTACTCGGCTCATCTCAGCTATCTCGGCTTCGGTACTCAGACTTTGAGTCTTACTCAACTTGGTATTACTCAGTATTGGTATTTCTCCCTTCTTTGAGTTTTCCATACTAAAACGTTTTAGTACCTTATCTAAGTAAGTATTCTGACTAAGTCCTATTAGTCTCTTACTTCTTTCTCTCACTATCCTTATTCCCAAAATATAGGAAGCCTCTCCGAGGTCCTTCATAGTGAAGCACTTCCCGAGCCAGGACTTTACCTCCTACAGAGTTGGGACGTCGTTTCCTATGAGTAGTATGTCATCGACATACAAAACGAGAAAGCTAACTATGCTCCCACTGGCTTTGACATATACACATGATTCATTTTTGCTTCGTACAAATCCAAACTCTTTGACTTTGTCATCAAAGCAAAGATTCCATCTGCGAGACGCTTGCTTAAGTCCACAAATGGACTTCTCAAGCTTGCACACTCTATTAGGATGCTTCGGATCAACAAAACCCTTTGGCTGAGCCATGTAAACATCCTCAACCAACTTCCCATTAAGGAAAACGGTCTTGACATCCATTTTCCATATCTCATAATCATGAAATGTGGCAATAGCTAGCACTACTAGAAAAACATCCTTTTACGACGCTCATTGCGTGTCGTAAAGGGCTCACACGACGCGCAAATGCGCGTCAAGGAAGGCCATGTCATAAAGAGAGACGACGCACATTTACGACGCTCATTTACGACGCGCAATTACGACGCACGTTTACGACATGCAATGCGTATCAACAAAGGCCCTGTCATAACAGAAGACGACACGCATTTGCGTATCGTAACGTTACGACGCGCGTGTTAATGACACGCAATGCGTATTAAGAAAGCCCCTATCAAGAAAGGCCATGTCATAAATGAAGATGACACACATTTTTGCGTATCATAATTTTAACTGTTTAAAAAAATATATTTGTAGATTTACTAATTTTCAAATTAAATTTCCATTTCATGTATCATAATAAAAAATCAAATACCATATACAAAAAATATAATATATTGCACAAAAGTTAATGTCACAAATAATCATTCCAATAGTAGACAAATGGATATCAAAGGGATCAAAAATATGTTTGTCTTCTAATAGAACTTATACACAAGAAAGTACTGAATTTGCTATTGAATTTATACACAAGAAGAAGGTGTTTGACTTCAGAAAATGTCCCAGCAACTTAATTGGCCCTGGAAGCTTGTGGTTTGACTGCAACTGAGATAAGGATACCTTGTTTACTCTTCTTAAGCTTACTAAACAAACATGACAACAAGATAATATAAAACTGAATTATTATTAAGATTAAGCCACAGATGCACTCAAGCTATACAATAAGATAATTAGGTAGATTTTTGAAAGTACAATGTTCTAATAAGAAAAAATGAAATTAGGATGTTATAAACTTGTAATAAATAAATAAATCAATGAAAGTGCATTGTTACTTTATGAATCTAACCCTAAAAAAGCTATAGAACTGAGGAGGTGAAGATTAGCACAACTTTATTTTGCAGCATGAATGTCCCCGTTATGATGGATACCTGTTGATGATAAGAAACCAAATTATCAAGATAAAAATAATTATAAGATTTCTTGCATGTTGCATTAATATGTGCAAATATTATCTTATATTAAGTAATAAACTAATAGTAGCATGCAATTAATGAAGTAGACAGATCTAGTCCCTGAAAAACTTACATATAAAACATTCTTTATAATGGATGCACTATTTAAAGTCAACGAGAGAGCAAATCCAGTCAACATGGCTATGAATGGATAACTCGTGAGTAGTGGTATAGACACAACCTACACAAAAGATATTCAAGACCTCATTTAACAACCAAACATCCCATTTTTCAAGATTCATATATTAAAAAAAAAAAAATCTCTCATGCAAAATCAATAATTACATCAAAAATGAATAATTAAATTAAACAAATGGTAAAAGAAAAACTAAATTAAAGAAAAATTGCTTACTCCTGCAATCCGAGCTATTACTATAGGGCCAAATATCCTCTCCAGAAATGGATACAATGTGAACTGGAAGTGTAAATCATATTCATACCTGTTTATAACCAGGGAGCACCTATGAAACATCATTATGTAGCTCCTCGCTTCTAATTTCCTGCAAGTGTAAATCAAAATAATAAGCTAAATTGTAAATATGCATCAAGCCAAGGGAAAAAGGTGGAATTTTTAATACCTGACTTATGAGAGATAAGTGGGCTGTGATCAACACCTTGGGCTCACAAAATACTAAGCGCACTGTGGAGTTGATGGGTAACTTTTCTAACTCAAGCCCAAGTTTTACTGAATCAACTCTGACTTTGGTCAAACAGGGATTAGACCTACCTTATATTCACATAAGGTTAATCCAACCAACGACACAATTGGCACTAATTCCTCTTCGCACCTCTGTTTCTCTTCTGCCGATCGAACCTCAATTGGCCACCTCTTACTCAACCACGATACCCAGCTCCTCAAGGTTGGAGGCGTTGGCTTATCCTAATATCGTCTTCAAAACCCTAGGGTTCAATTTTGGATCCTCTGTCATCCAAAACGAGTTATTGAGCATTCTTGTTGATTCACCTGGGCACATTGGCTCTTTTACAGATATTAATGTTGTCTTATGTATCAAATATGGTGTATTAGCTACTGTTGATTGCAATAAAGATGATAGTGTCCTGGAAAAAAAAATCTGTCTCCAAAACTATGGAGAAATATTTCATCTTTTTTGTGACTTTTAACAAAAGTGACAAGTATTTCTCTAAATATCTAGTGCATGGAGCATACTTCACATTTCAAAAGGTTACTGAAGATTCTAATGTCACCTTGTCCAAACATTAGGACCCCCTGGGTGATATTATGGTTCCACAAGAAAGAGTGCAAGGGAATTGGTGTATGCTTGCTGGAATCAAAATACATGAAAAAGGTCTTGAACAGGTTACAATTACAGCTGGTTATGATGATCTTAGTGGAAGTAATGTCATTACTGGTGAGAACAAGAAGAGTATGGAGAGCTCTTGGATCCTGGAGAATTTGAAGAAGAAAGGGATTGATGAAGAGATAGATAAAGAAATACTTGTTATTGCTAAAAAGGGAAAAGATGTTAGCAAAGATTTTATGTTAAAGTTGTTGCCAAATAAGTTTCCTGGGGCAAATGGAAGTGGAAGTGAAGTTACTTATGGTGAGTTTATCGGCTGGAAGAGTTCCTGTTGTGCCCCCTTAAGGTTTTAGATGATTCAGGTGATGGTTTTACTAAAGGACTTGAAGCTGGATTAGCAAGTTTACATAGCAAGGGCTTTAATGCATCAGTTGCTTCTGGTGGATTTGGCTGGTACATCACCATAGATCCTAATGAGAATGGTTGGGAAGTTGTGAAAAAAGGTGGGAATGCACAAGTCATTGGTGAAGTCCCACATAAATTCAAGAATGTTTTTGAGGTGGTGAGGACACCAAGCGACGGTCCCAGTTTTCATTACCAATACTTCTTTTCAGGTGTGATGAGTAATAAGAATGGGAAGGTTGATAAAGTTATCAAGATGATCTTAGAGGAATTGGAGCCAGTGATTGTAGGGCAAGCCACCAAACAAGGGCTCGAACTTGAAGAGATGGAAGGAGAACAACAGCAACAGGAGTCACTTAAGAAGAAGTCAGAGGAGATTTTGGTCTATTCTCTTAAGTTATTGATGTTACACGTGAAGTTTGAGTTGTTTCGGGTTTACCTTTCATTTTGGCAACCGCACTTGAATAGGAATGCAAGGAAGACCCATTCTTTCCTTCACCTTGAGGACAAGGTGAAAGTTTGGGCCGTTGGTATTGATAAGCCCCGACATTTCTGTTATCTTTTTGGCCAGGAGTAGGATGGTTTTTTCTGGTATTATGGCTGTTTTGTTATGTCAAGAGCACTAACTTTGTCCCAGGACTATTTTAGGGGACCACTCCCTAGAGGTTTTTGTTTAGCAGCTAAGAATTATTATGAATTGAACTTTGTTCTTTCTTGGAGATACCCACATCTCGAAAGCTGGGAATTATCTTAATATTATCACGTAATTGAATCAGGGGTTAAAATGCCTGGAGTTTATGATAGATTCAACAAGGGTCTATCAGTGGCTTGGGATTAATGGACTTACAACAAATCTTGTAAGAGCATAAATGAAAAGTGCAGTGTTGTAAACTGTAATAGAAAGAAATAAAAGTAAAATGTTTTCACAATAAGCAAATACATAAAAGTACGTTGTTATTTCTTGTAAATTGTAATATACCTGGAAAGTGAATATGACCTGGAAAGTGAATATCATCTTCTGTCACATTCTCCAACATGATGAACTCAAGGATATTAATAAATGGAGGATCATTTCTTGGGTTGACAATGACTGGAATATCCAAATCATGCTTCCCATGCTTGTTCATGGTGGTAACCCTAACAGTATCTTCACCACTGAAGTTCCCCTCCGTGATTTATAAATATCATATAATATTAAGAGGTTAAAACTCAAAAGTAAAGGGAAAGTAGTTAAAAAATTGGTAGAATTTTGAGTACCCGACGTATCTAGGGTTTGCTAACACATTTGAACCACCTATTTATGCTTCCCCAGCTGTGTAATAAGTAGGGGCAAATCAGTCAATTTTAATTATTAAACTAACAAAGATTATGAATCACATTCACATACCATGAGAAGAGCCTCTCCTTTCATATTAAGTAGTTTCTCTGAATAGGAGCTTATTGACCTTCATGAAATTGGGATCTAATGCAGCAGCCATTCTACAGTCGTTTAGACATTTTCCCTCATTCTTCCAAGAGCCATGCGTATAGTTGCACGATTGCTATAACAGAAAATAAGAGGTTGTATACAAACGCCAGGTGTCTTTGTATGTTGTATTGAACTAATACCCTTTGAATAACATACTTCAGCTTCTGATAAATCTCCACTCTTATAAACCTCGTTTCCCCTGCACAAATCAATTTATTTCAGAAATCAAAACCATATTAGGTTTATACAAATGTTTCTTGAGCTGTAGCCTTTGTGTGCACCCTGTTACCAGGTTTATGAAAATGGGACACATTAACACAGCCAGTTCTCAGCTTATACTTCTTCTGATGTGGCCGTTGTCTCACTGCCATGGCAGCACTAGCAAAAGATGTAACAGAAGGTGAATATATAGATTTTCATGTCAAAAAAAAAAAAAAAAAAAAACTTACAAGAGCAACTAGCGGATCATGAGTAACAGCATGGCCATTGATCATGTTAACAGGAAGCATGTTCCCATCTCTATCTATTGTGTTCACTAGAGTCTCATCTCCATCCAGGCATATTTGAGCAACATCAAGTCCAACCTTCACCAAACCACCCTATAAATAAACATATATATGTAAATACTAGTAAATAGTCAAACAAAAGTTTACTAAAGTCAACTTTAGGCTACTTACTGGATTGTTTCAGAGATCCAAAATGTAAGATTCAACACCCTGATTTTCAAATTCATGAATGGCGTGTTTCATATCTGTAGCAGCACTCTGTTTACAAAAGCTTGTTGTTAGATGAATTTAAGATATGAAGTTATAAAGTAAGACTAAGATTTAGAGAATTAATAAGCACCTGGGAGAAGGCTAATAGCTTTACATATCCGGTTTTGGATACATGACCATTTGGTGTTCTATGAGGAATGATGACACTTAATATAGGAGAAAGTCTGATGAATTCCCGGGGTAGTTTCACCTCTCTAAAACTAGAGTCAATGGCCAACTTTTTTCCATGTAGATCAGAAATATGAACATGCACAAATTTCTATAAAATCCTTTGGAAAGGAATCAACCATTCCATTCCTTCCTACCAAACTTAAATGTAAGAAACTTACATTGTGCACTTTGAATGTAACACTTGTCCCAACATAACCTCTAAGCTTTTGTGCAGCAGCTTCACCACTAATCCCTTTAACCCTCTCTCCATTTATTTCAATCAACTCATCTCCTACATGTATTCCAGCTCTAGCAGCTGGGCTACCCTCAACACAGAACAATAAAACCTGAAACAAAAAATTTTAAATTTTTAAAAATAAAAAATAAATAAGAATCCATAACTGAGGTCTCAGGTTCAAGTCTCAGCATCACAAACTAGATGACCGGTTTCTGGTTCAGTATTCACAAATAGTCCAACTCCTTGTACGTTTCCATCACTTCCAATTCTAAAACTTTGGTATTCCTGTACAAATCATTGCCGAAAAGAAAATAGAGTAAGTTCCCCCTGTTGGAATCTAGGAGTAATAATAAGTTACAAAAATGGTTCCTGTTATTTCTGAATTTTAGTCCAAAACTAAAAACTCTTTTAGAAACCACAGGGAAAATTTTTGTAAAAGTAATGGGAAAAGTTGCACCTTTGGACTGATAATGTGAGTGAAGCGATCTTCAAGAGTAGAAAGCATTCCTTTAATCTTACTGTATGCGGCATCAACTGTTCTAAGTGGATGCATTTCCACCATTGTTTGTTGGAATTTCGAGTCCCAGTCTACAGAAAACACATAAAATTACGTTAAACTTATTGACACTAAATGACATAAAACAACAGAAATGAATCGTACCTTGATGATTAAAAGTTGGATCAACAAAAGTCTCTCTGATCAAACCCTAAGTCTCTACAAGAGTTCGTTGCACAGCATTCACCTGTTACGAAATCAAATTTTACCAAACCCATATAAGAAATAGATTGAACACCTTATCTGCACAACCCAAACAAACTACTAAAAAAGATGATCGAAGTGAACACCTACCTCATGAGTATGAGAAGCTGGGAATGCTATTGTCAAGGACTAGGCAAGAGCTGGCGAATCCAAAACAAACAGAGACTGCATCAGCGAGCCTGATCAAACCTCTAGCGATTGAATCAATCAATTTCTTATTGGATTCAACTGATTCATTCGAATTTTCCTTGGGTAAAGCTTGAGGTGGTGTTGGTACTTTACACTTGCTATGGTAACCATTGAAACTGGAAGAAGATAATCGGTACTTATAGGGAAAAGTTGAAGAGGTTGGTGTTTGAGGGGTTTTGGTGTAAATTGATGAAATGGGTGAAGAATTACTAAGATCGAGATTAGGTTGGCGTAGAGCATCCATGGTAGATACTCTAACTGGGGGATTTAGGGGGTTGCAGATCGTAATCAAGATGAAGGGATTTATGGGGAATGAATGAACAAGTGTAATGGTTGGATTTAGGGGGATTTATGGTAATCCCTAAAAATCGGACCCAAAAATCTCTATATCGGGTTTACAAATACACAAACCACGCTTTTTCCTGGTTCAGAAAACCAGAAGGGTGATTAGGGTTTTTTAGAGAGAGAGAGAGAGAGAGAGAGAGGGAATGCAGAGGTAGAGAGAATGCAGAGCTAGAGACTTGACCCAACATTTATTATACCTGGTAGAGAAGATATAAGGAGGTTTGCTAAACCCTGTCGCAACCATTAATCTCTGTATCCTCACACAGTCACACAGGGAGCAATGATCAATCTCAGAATTCTCACAGGTCTCGTCAATCTGGCCCCTCAGCCAAAAAGAAATCTGATACTGATAAGAAGAAACGAGGCCTCACAGCGAAACCCTAAGGTTTTTTGAATGTTTCTTGATTTTCCATAACAAGTTAAAAACAAGCGTGGCGTGGACTCACAAGTAAGGATTTAGAGGGGTGAATAGGAGGCTGAGATCATAGAAGCGAAGAATAAAGAAAGGGCAGAGATAGTTACAGACAACGAGGGAGGGCGGCATACGACAACGACAAACTTCATCATCTTCTTCCACTGCCTGGCAGTGTTTGATTCGCGGCAACGACGTGATTAGGGCAAGAGGGAAACAACCATCGAAATAGAGAAACAAAAGGGGAGAGCTGATTGTGAAGATAAAGAAAAGAAGGTAGAAAAGAAAGGCGGGTTTTCAAAATTTTAGGGTTTCGTTTCCCCTGTTATCTTCTCAAGGCGTGTTTCCTTAAAATTATAAAGCGACACCTACAGAAGACACACGTTTAAGATAAAGCGCCCTCCGTGTTTTTAATTTTTTTTCTTGAGACACTAATTTAGGGGCATGAAAAAATGCGTGTCCACTATCCTTCAAATTATGGAAGTCTGACATTATTTTTAAGGACGCCCAAAAATGGGTAACATGAATCCGTGAGTGTCATTGTTTGCGCGTCATTAAAGGCTATTTTTCTTGTAGTGTAGCATCACTCTAATAGACTTTATCTTCGCAACTGGTGAGAAGGTCCCATCATAGTCAACTCCGGGAGTTTGAGTAAAGCCCTTCGCAACCAATCGCGCCTTGTACGTGTGTAAATTTCCATCCATGTCGGTCTTCTTCTTGAAGATCCATTTGCACCCAACCGTCTTACGTCCGGGCACATTTTCAACCAAATTCCAAACTTGGTTGTCATACAGGGACTGAATCTCGTTGTCCATTGCCTCTTTCCATTTTGCAGACTCCGGGCCTGCCATGGCTTCCTTATAGCAATTAGGTTCATCTAGATTTATTAGTGTACTATCACTAACATACATGTCCCCTTCGGTACTAATATGAAAACCATACAACTGGGGTTGAACTCTAACTCTTTCGGAACGTCTAAGAGGTAATGACTCGTTAATTGGTTCAACCGGAGTTTCCTCCTCGGGTTGAGCGCCAGCGGTAGAGGTTCCTTCATCGCTCGACTCTTGAATCTCTTCAAGATCAATTTGCCTCCCACTGTCTCCTTGGTTTATGAGTTCTCGCTCTCGGAAAACCCCTCTCCTCGCAACGAATACCACATTGTCACTCGGTCTATAGAAGAGATATCCAAAGGATTTCTGCGGGTAGCCGATGAAAATACATTGCTCACTACGAGGTTCGAGTTTGTCATGAGTTTCTCGTCTTACGAAAACTTCACAACCCCAAACCTTGATATGTGCCAACGAGGGAGCTTTCCTATCCACATCTCGTGAGGTGTTTTGCCAACCTTCTTTGTAGGGACTCGGTTAAGGATATGGGCGGCAGTCTCTAAGGCATACCCCCAAAATGAGATAGGTAGTGAAGCACAACTCATCATCTTACGAACCATGTCCAACAGGGTTCGATTGCACCTTTCTGCCACACCATTTAACTGTGGTGTCCTAGGTGGCGTCAATTGTGAAACTATTCCACATTCCTTGAGATAGTCGTGGAATTCAAGACTTAGGTACTCTCATCCTTGATCGGATCGAAGCATCTTGATTTTCCTGCCCAATTGATTCTCCACTTCATTCTTGAACTCTTTGAACTTTTCAAATGTTTCATACTTGTGCTTGATTAAGTAAATATACCCATATCTATTATAATCATCGGTGAAAGTCACGTAGAAGCGGTTTCCATCCTTTGTGGTGGATCTGAAGGGTCCACATACATCGGTATGTATGAGATCCAATAAACCCTCACCCCTATCACATGTGCCAGTGAAGGGTGACTTGGTCATCTTTCCAAGTAAACAAGATCCGCACGTGTCATCTTCCCTAAGGTCGAATGACTCCAACACTCCATCATTTTGGAGTTGGGCTATGCGCTTCTTGCTGACATGTCCAAGATGACAATGCCACAAAGATGCTTTATCTATACTATTGGAAGAATTTATACACAACACATCATTTCCTAGGTTATCTACAACCATAACAATTTCATAAATTCCATTACAAGGCATTGCTTCAAAGTATAAAACACCATTTAGATAAGCATAAATAGAACCATTCATATTATTAAACGAATATCTAAATCCTTGTCTAAACAAACCATGAAATGAAATGATGTTTCTTGCCATATCTGGCGAGTAGCAACAATTATTTAAATCTAGACCTAAACCATTACTAAGCACTAAACAATATACTCCAATCTTGGTGACGGGCGATGATCTTCTGTTTCCCATGATTAGATTTATTCTTCCTTGCTCCACATCTCTATCTCTTCTTAGTCCCTGCAAGTCAGAACAAATGTGGTAACCACATCCTGTATCAATAACCCAAGAAATAGTGTGAGATTAATTACTAGATTTAATTGTGTATATACCTGCTAAAGATGGCTTGATCTTTCCATCCTTGATGGCTTGCAGATATTCCGGGAAACTTCTCTTCCAATGCCCTATCTTGTGGCAATGATGGCACTCTGCCTCCTTCGGGTTAGGGTTGGGCTTAGTGGGATCAACTTTGGTCCCACTAGAAGAGGAACCATCTTGGGACTTTCCCTTGCGGTGGCTCTTTGAAGAAGCCTTCCTCTTCTTGCCCCTTCCCTGCCCTATAGCCAAAACAGGAGCAACGGTTGGTGTGGGAGTTGGTGCAACAGACTTGTCCTTTAGGTTACTCTCTGCAGTCCTTAGGGGTCCTTGGAGTTTGCTTAGGGTGACCTCTTGCTTGTTCATGTGGTAGGTCATCCTAAATTGGTTGTAGCATGAAGGCACGGAATGAAGAACAATGTCGATGGCCAAATCCTCCCCAAAGTTAACATTTAACTTGCAAAGACGATCAACATATCGTTGCATCTTTTGCAGGTGCACAGTCAATGATTCTCTATTTCCCATCTTAGCGGTGATCATATTAGTGATGATCTCGTAGTGCTCTTGCCTCACGCTTTGGTGGTACCTCTCCATCAAGTCTTGATGCATTTAATACGGATACATATCCTCATAGGACTTTTGGAATTCTTGATTCATAGTCGCTATCATGATGCAATGAACTTTCGTTGCATCACGTTCGTGTGTTTCAAAGACAGCCATCTCTTCGGGAGTAGCGATTTCTGGGTTGACCTTCTCAAGCTTTTCATCGAGGACATACTCTTTGTCCTCGTAGCGTGCAATGGTGCGAATGTATCTTATCCATTCGCTAAAGTTGGTACCATCGAAGGTCACCTTTTGGCAAAGACTCATTAAGGTGAATGAGTTGGCAGCAGCATTGTTTGCGTTCGACATCTACAAATAGAAAGCACAAAGTTTAATTAGAACTTGGATCCCTAATTAAACACCCAAAATGAAAAATTAGGGCTACGACCCAACAACATTATTTACATATTAGAAAAGGGATGTCGTAATCCAATCATGCAAATAATTTGGAGGTAAGTGAATGACGATTCACTAATTCTTCACCACAAAAACATAACCTTAGGTTTTATTGAGAATTCCTAGATTTTAGAGATTCATTGAACTTTTCAATGGCATGTTTAAATCTCGATATGCCCCTCTAGTTTGTGATTGGGATACCGAGGATCACAAAATGGGTGTGAATTACCATGCAAATCTACATGGTGCCTTCATTGTTACAATCATCTATTCGATGTGCCGGTAAACCACACATGCTCCATTGAACTATGATAAACAATGAATCACCCTTTGCCACCTTTGCTTAGAACCAATTAGTGTGCCGGTAAACCACACACACTCCACTAACTTCTTAGCAAGGGTGCAAAGTGCAATTTCATGGGATTGCATCAATTCACTTTTCCTAAAGTAACTAAGATTGGGAATTTTATAAAATAGTTTAGTTACTTCATAGTTTCATTGTACTTATTAATGAGGAGATAGAGTTGCACTATCCTACCCGTTCGGCTAACGACCCTCCACCGGTCAAGCAAGCGGTGGGTGTGAGTGTACACCCATTAAGCGCCATTTTATAGGCAGCAACCTTATACCCACCTTATAGATCGGCTTCGTGAATGAGGCCTACTAACGGTAAGACTAGCATTTTAATTTTACTTATATATTTATTAAGCTTTTAATAATATAATAGTATAGGGTTGAATTTTAAACTTGTAAAACTCTAGGGGTTGAAATTTAAATTCTCCTAAATTGAACTGTTAATCATAAAATTCAAATTTCTAGACTTCGGGATAGAAATTGAACTTTTCAAACAATAGGGATCCAATAACAAATAATTCAAATTAAACAATTAATTTCATAATTATCTATATTTGACCTAATTAAATTTTAGTCATTAGATAATTACCAAATAATCTTAAATAGTCCAATATTTATCATATAAATAATCAATATTTAAAAGATTTGAAATTATCTATATTTATGTCAAGGATAATCATTAAATTAAGTTAAAATTCGGATTTTTACATAATAAAACGATTTAGGTATC